TGAAGCTGCTGCCCCCGCGACCCGACCCCGGATAGGYGGAAGAAAATGGATGGATGGATGGATGGATGAAAGGATCTCAATGCATTTCTATGTGAAATTAAGTTTTAAATAAAGCTATTAGTTCAAAAAGTATAAAAGTTATAAACATATCACACTATTCCTGATCAAGCTAAATGTTTTGAAACAAAATAGAAAAAAGCCTAAAAGGAAAACAGTGATGTGAATGCTGACTCATCATTCACACTGTTGTTGCACAAAGTGGGGCTTTAGTGCAGGTGTGTTTGCTGCCAGTCTTTCATGATTTTCCCGCCTCTGTGTCCAGGCTCCGCGGGTGTTGACAGTGATGTTGAGTCACTCTGACAGCAGCCTCCTGCCTCTGATCAGGGACGTGGTTCAGGACGTGCTGACGGCTCTGGATCTCAGCTACAACCACTCGGCAGCTCTTTTCTGTTCGGTCCTGCACRCGCTCGTGAAGGCTCTGGGTGAGATTTATTCAGAAATGTCATCACATTCATCTGAATGTGCCTGGAACAAATGACTCATATCATACTGGCTGCTTTTCTCAGAAGCAGTGCAGATTCAGTCTCATTGTTGTATTTTTAATAATCCTGGTCAGTGTCCACCTACATTTCAAATTATACAACACCACTGAGTTCTAGAAGTTTAGATTTTGTTATGTTGTTTTTGACTTAACGTTTTTTTTAAAGATTTTTAAAGATTTTACATGTTTTTTTTTTCTTTTATGTTTAGCAAGATGGTTTCCCTCCTCACGCTGCAGGACTAATAAATCTGCCACCTCCAAAACCTCTGTTGAACAGGAAGATTTCGACATTCGCCACTTTCTGCTGGATTACAGGAAACAGAAAGAATTGGCAGAGGGCGTTGGAATAGAAGAGGATGACACAGAGGACCTTGGTAACACAAAATTGCTTAAATTGTGTTTTATGGTGTGGGAATATAAATTATTAATAGAAGAGCTGCAACAATGAAGTGATTTTGGGTTGATTATTTGGGTTTTAACAACAAACTATCSATCTTATGATTCAGAGGTTCCTCCTCCTGCAGAGAGTGAGGATGTTGACGACACAGACGGCCCGGATGTAAAACCAGAACTTCCCTCACACCTCAGCATTACTAAAGACATCATGGAGCGCTGCACTCACCTGCTGTCAGATCCCAACCTCAGGCTTCGACTGAAGGTACTTTCTTTGGAGTAAAACATGCAGTGAAGGCAGTTTTTATGATGGCAGTAAGGAAAGTTCATCATTGTTTAGTCTTTTTTTAAAGGGGACGTGCAAAATCCACAAGTCTTCTGTTGTTGACAATTTTTAATGAATTTACTGTATAAATAAAATGTTTCTGCGCCATTGTATAGTTGTAAACCCCTCCATCAAACTGTAATAGAGCGGCTGGGGGTGTGTGGGGGTGTGAAGCCCCCCATTTGGATTTAAAGAGACAGCCTCAAAACGAGTTGATCTGAGACACACCTCAGAAAAGGGGCGGGGCTTGTGGAGGTACAATAAGGAGGAATTCAGATCAAAGCATTGCAGTTCCACTTTATATAGACCCCAAATGAAGGATTTCAATGTGAAAAAGTAAGGATTTAGAAGCATGATGTCTAATTTGATACTGTATGTACTYTGAAAGACGTTTGATTTTTTATTTTATTTTATTTTTTGCTACGCTGTGATGACTTTTTGATAGTGGCAAATCTCCTGGCTACATAAATGATGTTTTATCTGAATTTAAAAAAACAACCTAACAAATTCAGAACTTGTATTTAGAAAGGAAGCAGCTTTTATTTTATTTTATTTTATTTTTTTTTGTTTTGTTTTGTTTTGTTTTACTCTAGTAAGACCTTCCCAGTTTGTTTTCCATCATGTAAAACACACATGTGTAAGCTTTGGCTGTGCTGTTTGTTTTTGGTCTGCAGGTGCTGGATGTGCTGGAGGTGTGTGTTTATGTGCTGAGCGAGAGGGAAAACGAGCTGCTGCCCATGGCTCATCGCTGCTGGCCGGCCCTTCTGCAGAGACTCACAGCTGATGACCCGTTAGCGATCCTCAGAGCCTTCAGGGTTGGTTCAACTCTCCTGTCTCAGTTCTAAAATGCTTTTATTTATTTATTTATTTACACTTCCCTAAAAATCCTTGAAGAGAGAAATGTCAATGTGTTGCTGAATAGATTTGACATTTTAAAAGAAGATTTTAAGTTTAAATTGTTAGTTATGCCATCAGGATCAGGTCTTTATTTTATTTGTGAAAATGTTAATATTAAAATTTTCCAAAGCTGACTTTTTCATCTATTTTACAAAGTCATAGAACAGATTGCAGGGTTCTGGAAATCAAAGAAAACTTTAGCTTACTTTCACATTTTCCAGACAGCGGAACTCTGGGCATTTGATGCGACATTGTTTATGTAAATAATATTTCTCATTTCTTCATATCTTTTTTTACATTTGAACATGACACCTCAGGTGCTGTGTACGCTGGGCGAGACGTGCGGCGACTTTCTGAGGAGCAGGGTCTCYAAGGAGGTCCTGCCCAAGCTGTGCTCCTCTCTGGCGCGACAGGCTCCGATCAGCGCCAAGGCCGGGCCGGTCTACACGCACACCCAGGCCTATAAACTGCAGCTGGCTGTTCTGCAGGGCCTGGGCTCCCTGTGCCAGAGACTGGATCTGGGTAAGAGAGTTAAAAGCGGGATTTTAAATTTGGCAAAGATAACAAAAAGGTAGACAGAAACCACTGAAAATTAGTCACAACAAAACCATCTTTGTGCAGAAAATCACAAGAAATGTGATGAGTACAACTTCTTGTATTAAAGGGATCCCTGATTAGTTGTACCATTAGACTTTATTTGACAGACAGAGCTGCTTCATGGAAGAAAAACCTCAGCTTAGCCTGTTAGCTTTAGCGCCAACGCTATATTGCCTTATATGTATTAGCTCAGTGCTAGC